GGGCGGGGGGCTGCACATTCTGAGTTACTCCCTGAGTCACTTCTCTGGGGAATATAGAGAAATGCAATGCAGAGTCCGAGTCATCTGTGCTCATACCTGTTCCCTCAGCACATGGTGGCGGGGAGTTCCGCAGCCCAAGGTCTCACTGCTGCTCCTGTCAACCTCCATACACCTCCCCCTGCATGGCATCGACAGGAACACTGGGCAGAGCGGAGCCTCCCCACACAAACAAGGCAAAGGGCTCTGCTCCAAATGGCTGATCCCTGCTGGTTCTGTGAGGCAGAAAGGAAGCAGAGAATGGCACAAATTTTCTCAGAAATGGCCGTGACTTGACCTTGAAAGAAGCTTGCAGAAATTAGAGCTTTATCTTAAGCTTTGCCCACAAATGGACAAAAAGACAGGATAGGGAAGGAACCACACGTGTGCTAGAGGATAGCTTCTGCTTGCCAAGAGGGAATAAACCCCAAGTCATTCCACATGGCGTAACACCTGCAGCATGGGTGGGTGATGGGGAAACACCCCTAAATCATTTCCAAACCCTCCTTGAGTTCACTGAGGAACCACAGATTAGAACTGTGGCTGGGGAGCCCAGTGCTTGCTTGTCACCCAGAGGCTCTATTTATTTTGGTATGTGAAAACCAGGCTTTTGAGCAGCCAGGCCAGAAGGGGCCAGCACCCGCTTTCCCCACCCCAGGCCTGTTTCTGTTAAACCAGAGGAACCCCGAGGTGTTCCAGGCTCCTCTGCCAGCCCTGCCAGGGTCCTGCAGCTCCTTGGGAGCATTTTTCAATGCTGCTCTGAGCACAGCTGAGCAGTCTAAGCCCTGCCAGCTTTATCCCAGATGGTCTGTCCAGATATTTTGGGCACTTTGAAAGCTCAGACTCCTTACGAGTCCTGTGATTCAAGTGCCTCTGTAACATACATGTGAGTCTCCCACAGTAATTTCTACTCCCTGCCCTTCCCTCACTGGGCTTCACACCCATTTGATTTGCTTTATTACATGGGCTTCTCCCTGGCTAAAGTAATGACTATGAAGTCATCTTTTGGGCTAAAAATATTAATTTTATTGCTTCCCAGAGCCTTCCTCTTGACAGAACTCTCTGGCTATTTCCACTTCCAAAGGCTCCCACCTTCCCACAGCAAGTTCAACCTCTTCAAGGACCAGCGAGGAACAAAACTGAGAAGCCCCACTGAGCGTACATCATGTAAGAAACAGTCACTTCCATCATCACTTCCGAAGATCTCTTTTGCACTGGTTAAGTTTTGTAGCAGAGTCTTCCTTGATATATGTGACACAATCCCATTCTGCCTTTTCTTTTCCAAAAATTAATTATCTCCAAGAGGCAAACACATCTATTTTTGACTCCGTTTGTTCCAGTGACATGATACTGAGTCATCTTCACCACTTGAAAGGTGGCACAGAGCTTTTGCAAGGAGACTTCAGATGAAACTGCCAAGGGCAAATAGCATCACAAGTGAAGTTGTGCTTGCAAAATCCTCTGCTTCCGTTTTTATTTGCTTTTTCCCCATTCCATTTGCTCTCATTTTACTGACTTACTTTCCACGTTCCTTAAGGTGCTTGCAGAAAAGATTGTGCAGTAAATAGGGGAGAACAGTTCCTATTTCCAGGGGACTTGAAGCCCTGCAATCCCTCAGAGCACCCTCTCCTGCTTCTCTACATCGTGGGGAACATGTGGAGCATTTCAGAACTCAGCATTGTGCTGCTCACTGATCCTGGGTATCAGTGGAGCTGCAGACACTGTGCAGACAAGCTCCCAGTAGGGAAGAAGGCAAGGAAGAAAACCACAAGGAAATGAGGCCCTGTGAGACTATGCAATTCTGTGAATTTAAGAAGCCAGAAAAGCTCAGTTTTTCATTTTCTTCACACTCTCGGCATTAGAGACCAATGTTAGCATCACTGAACATGTATCTGCTCCTCTAACACACCCTCTCTTTCTCTGACCTCTTTCCTGCTGCTCTGTCCTTAACTCACCTACTTTTCTTGCATTTGCCATTTTCTCCCACTTCTGTTCAACTTTTATTGGAAACATTTAGCACAACAGCTTCTTTCTAAACCTGCGGGCCTCTGGTGGGGTGGTGAGGCCTGCCTGGGCGAGGTGATTTGGGGCTGAAAAAAGGGAAGATGAGCACAGGGAGGGAAATCCAGACTTGCCCAGCCACACGGGTGACTCAGCAGAGCCTGGGACACACTGGAGGAGGTGGGCTTGGCAAAACTACAGCACAAGGGCATAAAAAATGCCTACAGGAGCTTCCTGTGGGCTGCAAATGATATGTCTGCAAGTGTAAGGCAGATGGGTGGAAAGAAAGAGCATCCCTTTCTCCTCCTGAGGATCCAGCTCATGGGCAGTACCTACGCATTCACTGTATTGCTCATTTTGGCTGCTGGAAATAACTGCCCTCAGCAGAATGAGCACTGGGAACAGGTTCTGGAGCTCTCTCCATT